AACGGAGGCTACAATTCGCAAGGGCTCACCATAATTGGACAATAGAAGATTGGAAAAATGATGCTGGGTCTGATGAGTCTTGATTTTCTGCTGTGACTTTCGCATTGTCTGGTCAGCATTTTTGCATAAACAACATGAAAGCATGGTTTCATCGTTCCTGGTATCGATGGATCAGGGTGGTGGTATTAATGGTTTGGGGGATATTTTCTTGACACACTTTTGGTCCCGGAGTAACAATTAAACATCCTTTAAATGCCACAGCCTACCTGTGTATTGGTGCTGACTGTGTCCAACCCCTTATGACCAGTGTACCCATCTTCTGATTACTACTTCCAGCAGTCTAATGTGTCATGTCACAAAGCTAAAATCATTTGAAAATGGTTTCTTGAACATTATAATGAGTTCATTATATTCAAATGGCCCCCACAGTCACCAGATGTCAATCCAATAGAGCACCTTTGGGATGTGGTGGAACAAGAGGTTAGCATCATGGATGTACAGCCAACAACTCTGCAGCAAATGCATAATGTTAACATGTCAATATGGACCAAACTCTCTAAGGAATGTTTCCAGCACCTTGATGAATGCATGCCATAAGGAATTGAGACAGTTCTGAAGACAAAAGGTTGTCCAACCTGGTACTAGCAAGGTGTACCTAATAAAGTGGCCAGTGAGCGTATATATCTAAAGCACACCTGAAATTGTATGCGGCCAAGGAGATTTAGGTAGATGGGGGAACCACTCTTGATTCTTCCCTAGTTGAAAATGTCCACTTTGTTTGAAGACTTATTACAAATAAGCATTTATGCTGTTTTTATACCTTGTGTCCGTTATTGTTAGGAGTGAAGCCTTACCAAATAATCTTTGAAGTTTCCAAAGGTCTGCCCTGTCTTTTTGGATAGACCAGCCTTTGGGAAGAGTGCCCCCACTGCTGCTACTGCAGAAAGCGCCATCCTCCTTTCCATCTCCCGCACATGCACAGTGTGTTTTGTCCCCAGTTGCACCTGCTGAGCTCATCCGCGGTAACTGGAGACACACTGCGCATGTGCTAGGTGTTGGGAGTGGATGAGCTCAGCAGCTGCAACTGCAGACAGAGCACAATGCACATGTGCGGGGGATAAAGAAAGAGATGATGCTTGTTCCAATAGTTTGTCCATCCTAAAGAAGACAAGATGGGCCTTTTTGGAGACTGTAAGGATTACGAGCAGTATATCCTTGCAGTGCGGGAGAAGCCCCACTACAAGAGTTAACTTTTGAAAATCCTGCAGATAATTGTTCTCGTGTCAGACAATCAGATTGTTGTCTTCATACTTCTATAGTTTAGGGCAGTGAAACTGAGGATCCGTTTAGTTGCTATGAATTACAAAAGCATTTGTTCTTCAGACTCTCTGATTAGCAAGCCCCGCTAAACTTTATCAGACAGCCAACACGCTATTGTCACTTCTAGATCGCGTGTCACACTGATCATCCCAAAATGCCTGTAACATCTCGGGAAATGACAGAAAATTGGATTTCACGTTGCATTAATATTTTAGATTGCAGAAGAGCCATGATTAGAATTATGAAGGATCCAATTAATGTTCTATTTTCAGTAGTTCTCATGATGGTCCTCGTGCAGTTTTGCCTACAGGCAAAGACACAGCAGCCAAGTGTCAGATACATGTTATCTTGTGTCCAATTCTTGGTAGGATGTGCTTAGGACAGGATCATTTTCAGTTTATGAAATTCACCATTCGGCTGAACATTTGACTGGGGAATTTGTCATGGGACATCATTTGAGTAAAGTATATAAGCTTTTAGGCTACAAAACCACATTATTATTTTCATGTCATATTGCCTCATTAGAAACAAATTCTACGTTTTAGTCTATTGTTTAAACTCTAGGCTTCACTCTCACTTTTGATGATATTTTAATCACGTCATGTAAGAAAACTTGAATGAATGAATTAAGATTTCATTTAAAGGGCAGTAGTATGCAGTAAATTATTGCATCTAATCAAACATTTGGAACTACTGCTTTCAGTTTCTCCATGCAGGGGGGTTTCCACACATCATGCCTTGTACATTAAAAAAAAAACTTATTGGAAGTGTACACTCCATGCAGGTCTCTGTGGTGTAGTGCCATCCAGTGCGCTGTGGAAAAATGAAGCATCAAACCGGAGTTCTGGTGTGAACGGGGCACATAGAGAACAGTTGTTTTTTTGTGCTCTGGTGGTGACTGGCATTGATGTGGTCCTGAAAAATGCCAGTCATTCCACATAATGAGAATGGGCCCTAAGGCTACATTTCACACTACAACACCTTCATTTAGCTTTTCTAAATGAAGGAGTGGTTACCTGGGAAGTGTAAACAATTGTTATGCTTCTCAGATCACTTTCTCCTGTGTTTTAGATTTACCTGCTTTAAAGCAGGTTTTGCTTAATTTAGGTGCGTTTACGTGTGTGGAGCAATTCTAATCGGACCCTGGATGCACAGAATTATACTTTCTCTAAACACAGCTAAACTGAATGCACCCAAATGAAGTTAAACACTCAGTTTGAATGATAGCAATAAAATCTTTATATGCATTCAGAAATGTCCTCTGAATGCATATAAAAGCAGGTTTGTTAATGCCATTGTGAATGAGGCCTAAATATGGCTATATCTATACTGTTCCACCATTGGGAATGGTAGAGAGTTAGGAATCCTATGCATCTTAGGACATGCTGGTGTACTGTGATCTTTTAATGGTCCTTCCACTGGTATAGCTTTCATTTAGTAACAAAGAAGGGTTTCCTATATTTTACATGGGCAGAACTGAACTTGGATATATGCACATTGAAGGAAGCACTTCTTTTCTATACGCAAAGGTCAAGCATGTTAGTCTTGTGTTTTGTGGGTCACATATGGCCCTCATGCTTATTCTTACGACCAACTGCTGGTTAAAGAATTTGAAATACAGTGTCATGTTGCTTGCTCAAGAAAATATCTATATGAAGAATGCTAGATTGCTGACATCCTTCTGAAAATGCCTGGTGTCATGCTGGTGTCTGGCCTTCAGTACCTTCTGAGGCATTGACCCAGAACAAGTATGTAGACTGGGACTACTGAGGCCAGAGACTGCAACTTGTGTGCAGTTTAGACCGCATTCACACTTGTAAACTGGAGTAGTCTCACAAATTGCTGTGTCAGACTTGTTGGCGGCTGCTCTAATGTAATGGGACATGCTGCGATTATCTGCAGATAATCACCCCTCAATGCAAACTGTTTGCATCCAGGAGCGATCGTCCGCAGGTAATCAGTGCATGTCTGATTACATGACAATGGCACGTTTACATGAGTCTCACAGAGCAATTTGTAAGACTGGTCCAATTCACAAGTAGTTTTGTATGTTTATTCCCTCTATTAAAAAAGGCAAATATGTAATATCAGTTGCTATACTGTATATTAAAAAATATATAATTCATGTCTTTAAAGTAGAACTCCAGCCAATACTTTTTTTTTTTTTCAAGTTTTGAATGTTGTAGGAAAGAAAAGGGGAAAAAAAAATCTGGTCTGGTTTTTATTGATTTACTGTATCTATTCTGACTACTATCATGAATCAAAGTGAAAAATCCCTCCACATTTTCATGGATGTCCCTGGAAAAATCATAGAGGGGGTTTCATCTTATGGGGTCTACAGCAAACGTGGAATTTCTCCCCCATTGATGTCTCTTGGATAGGAAGTGAGGGTTATTTTTCTGGATGTCCATAAAAACATACAACTGATAAACTTACACTACTCTGTCCAGAATTAAATAAAGCACATTGGGTGGAGTTCTACTTTAATTCCGGAATAAGTAGTGTATTTTCTTATCTGGACAATTGCTACCCTTAAGAGAGTTAATGATACCCACGACTTTTTTCCCCACTTTCATTTAAGGCAGACAAACCTGAGAAAACGGAATTGTTAGGCTCCATTTACACTTGGGTGGGTGGGACAGTGCGCCTGCGTGTATGAGCATTTTCGTGTGTTGTGCATAGGGCCGCCCATTCATTTCACTGGATAGCCCTATGTGTGACAATCGCATCAAAGAAGTCTCTGCACCCTTTTTACAAAACGTGTTGCACCTAAATGCATGGTTAAAGTGCATGGCGCATCAATGTGCATTGGGGTACCATTAACAATGAATGGCACTGCCGTGCGTCAAGTGTTTTGGCAACGCGTTTTAAAATGTGCATCTTCACACGTTACTGCAACGCACAGATTTGAATGGAACCTAAGTGAGCAACAGAATTCCCCCTCTGATTTCCAAAATGTTTTCAAAGAAACAGAGGCTCTGTTTGTTGTGATTTAATGCTGGCCATACACTGAGTTAGGTGGGTGGCCCTGTCAGCCGCCTCCCAACCAACTGACATCTTCGATTAAAAAATCCAAGGAAAATTGTCAGCTGAATAGTGCCTGCATTCAACCAGAGGAAATCACTGTTCAGGTATTTTGACAGCTGGCGGGGGCGACTGTCAAAATACAATAAGCCGAGCGGGAGATTCCTTCATACATGTTTTTAGTGTGGATGGAGCAATCTGTCTGACCTGCAGGCTGAAATAAAAAAAACCTGTAGGCAGCCGTACACTGAAAAATGTTCAGTATATTACTTACATGAATAAGGCTCAGTATATTAAATATGTAAGCACATTTATTTTTTTTGTAATCAAAAATATTTGGTCGGCTTTTTGTTTGACCTATTTTGGATGAAATCATCCTACTATAGAGATTGCAGCTCTTTGTACTGCTGGTAAACGCTGATACATTTGCAGCCTCCCTCCATTTAAGAACAATTAGCAGAGCACAGTTAATGGTTCCCGAAGAGGCTTAAAGCAAATCTGATAAAAGGGCACTCCATCCATTTTCTGATTTTAGTAACCACATTAACTGCTTGGGACATTCATTTTGTTCAGTTACTGTGTAGAGATTTAGGAGCCTACAATCATGTGCATGGAGTTTATCTTATCTAAATGTTGTTTTGTCTTTATTTTTGCAGTAAAACTACACAGAGGAATAAACAGATTGCTATGGGAAGGAAAAAATTTAATATGGACCCTAAAAAGGTAATATGCAATGTCACAATCTATTGCCCCTTTTTTTAAAGTGGACCTGTCAGATATATATAAAAGTATTTATTACACTGTGCCTGGTCATGGTAGATTATGTATACCTTGAACCCAAGGCTTTTCAGATCATGATCATTTTGTCAAATTTGGAATTGTACATAAAACATCCAAATCTGAATTAGTTGTGCTTAATGAAAACATTAGTCTATATTATTATTATTATACAGGATTTATATAGCGCCAACAGTTTGCACAGCGCTTTACAATATAAGGAAGACATGACAATTCTAATACAATTCAAGACAAGAGGGTAAGGAGGGCCCTGCCCGTCAGGGCTTGCAATCGAAATATTTGAAAATGCAATAAGTATTTATCCTTTTATAAACTGAAAAGTGTAAAATATATCCTCCTGTTCTGTGTAGCAGTAAGGGTCTCCACCAACAGTATACAGCATGGCTTCACTAACAGTATACTGCACATCTCCAGCATTATTTTACAGTCCTTTCTTCTCCCCACTGAAGCAGTATACATAATCTTTCAAGCAGGCATCAGGAATTATTTGGCTGTCACCTATAGACAAGTATCTCTGTCTAGGAAGTAGATGCTAACCTTTGTATGGTGCCTGTACAAAGATGGTGCTGACCTTCTGGGGGAAAAGATCAATGCATTGTCAGGGGAAGTATTGTGATCTATTTGAGATGTAATAATAACCTGAAGATATTGCACTTACAGATACTTAAGGATATGTTTCCAGCTAGTTCTAGTGTTTCGTCAGCCAAAACCTTTAGTGTTGAATAGACTGGGAAGAAATTGGAACCTCTGGCGAGTTTATTGTTGTCTGAGACTTCTTTCTTTAGGGGATTTAGTCTTACTTTCAGTCATGGTGACAACATTATCATCAACTGAATCTTGGGCAACAGTTAGTCTCACAGAGGTTTTGTTTCCTCCTTTCTCGACCCTCCCCCCCCCCCCCACAAAAAAGTCGGGGTA